GATTCCTCAGCACCACATAAGCAAAAAGAAAAAAGCCGGAAGTGGCGCTGTGGCTCAAGTGGTAGAGCACTAGCCTTGAGCTGAAGAGCTGAGGGATAGCACCCAGGCCCAGAGTTCAGGCCCCACGACCGGACCCCCCAAAAAAAAAGAAAAAGAAAAAAGAATGGATCCTAGGGAGCTGTTCAGCAATTTCTGCCAAATTTTACTTTGAAAGCATTCTTGTTGAGAGCTGTTTTCCTCAAATGAGGGGGGTGGGAAGTAAATATGTTCATTCAACAAATATTACTCATCCTCAGTAACCCAAACACTTTTTTTTTTTTTTAGTCAGTCATGGAGCTTGGTCTCTGGGCCTGGGTGCTGTCCCTCAGCTCTTCAGCTCAAGGCGAGTGCTCTACCACTTGAGCCACAGCACCCACTTCCAGTTTTTTTCTGTGTATGTGGTGCTGAGGAATTGAACCCAGGGCCTCACGTATGCGAGGCAAGCACTGTACCAGAGCCATCTTCTCAGCCCTCAAACACAATTCTATAGCTTGGGTTTTTTGAGACAGGCTCTGACTTTGTAGCCTACATTAATTTTTTTTTTTCCCCTGATCCTGGGGCCTGAACTCTGGGCCTGAGCGCTGTCCCTCAGCTCTTCAGCTCAAGGCTAGCGCTCTACCACTTGAGCCACAGCACCCCTTCTGGGTTTCTGGGGGTTGATTGGAGATAAGAGTCTCATGGACTTTCCTGCCCAGGCTGACTTTAAACTGTGATCCTCAGATCTCCACCTCCTGAGTAGCTAGGATTACAGGCATGAGCCACCGGCGCCCGGCTGCCTACATTCATCTTAAACTCACCTCTAGGTATGTGTCTAGTTAGAGTTTAATAATTTAGATGTCAAAGAATCTTAAAGCAAAATAGACAACTCTAGCTTTTAAAAATGTTTCATATATATTAATACTTCATACATTATTAATAAATAAATGAAATTAATAAAATAATAGCACACCTAATGTTTTTGGCAAGTGCCAGTCTTGGGTGTTGTCCATGACCTTCTTTGTGCAAGCTGGTGTTATACCTTTTGACCCAAAGTTCCACTTCAGCTTTTTAGTAGTTTTTATTGGAGATAAGAGTGTCATAGCCGGGCGCTGGTGGCTCACACCTGTAATCCTAGCTACTCAGGAGGCTGAGATCTGAGGATCATGGTTCAAAGCCAGCCCGGGCAAGGAAAGTCTGTGAGACTCTTATCTCCAATAAACCACTAGAAAACCGGAAGTGGCGCTGTGGCTTAAGCGGTAGAGCACTCACCTTGAGCTGAAGAGCTGAGGGACAGCACCCAAGCCCAGAGTTCAAGCCCCATGACCGACCAAAAAAGAAACAAGTGTCACAGACTTTCCTATCTGGGCTGGCTTTGAACTTCTGTCCTCAGATCTCAGTCTCTTGAGTAGCTAGGATTATAGACATGAGCCACCCACACCCAGCCTAATAATCTTATGTGTAAACTGATAGTTCATGTTCTCTCATTTTCTCCTGGCCAGTTTAGACAAAGTTAGCCAGACCCTATCTCAAAAACAATATAAACAAACAAGGGGACTGGGAACGAGCTCAAGTGGTAGGGTACTTTAATTTAGCTGGTTATATTGCCACCATTTGTAGCTTCTGTAACTATACGGATGCTATAGAGTACAATTTTAGGCACTTTGGCCAGACTATTGCTACCTATTGCGCTTGATGACTAATGGTATAGATAGGAAATTTTAATTTCTGAATTTCTAACCCATGTCTGTGGCAGAAAATTCAATCATTATTTTGTTGTATATTCAACTGGAGAATTCAAAGGACAGAAAGACATAGTCCTTTCCTTTTAAAACTATAATTGCTGTAGTTACTTTTAAAACTTTTTATTAGGTAGTTGTATAAAGAGGTGACAATTTTGTAAATGAGATTATAAGTACATCTTGATTAGTGCATCTTGATTAGTGCTACCCCTTCTATCATTTTTTTTTTCATTTCCCATTTCCATCCTTACCCTCAAGTTACATAGTTCAATTTTTAGGTAATGTACAATGAATGTAATGACTGTATTTACTCTCTCCCCCTTCATCCCGCCTGTCATTATATTTCAATCTGAGAAAATTTTCATATTTTTCATTCCTTGTCTTTTAGAGTGATAGATGGTCTGGAGACTCTGGATGAGTTGGAGAAGTTACCAGTAAATGAGAAGACATACCGACCTCTTAATGATGTACACATTAAGGATATAACTATTCATGCCAACCCATTTGCTCAGTAGCTGTAATAGACAGGCAAACTGTTCCCGGGAAAACACCCATTGTAGTTTACCCAGTTCGAAGCATGTCAGAGACATGTCATCACACTCGTTTACAGCGAAGATCATCTATAGGCTGTTGCGTACAAAAGGACGCCCAACAACTTCTTTCCTCATTCTTTTTTTGTGTGTGTGTGCTGGTCCTGGGGCTTGACTTCTTGGCCTGGATGCTGTCCCTTGAGATTTTGTGCTCAAAGCTAGAGCTCTACCACTTGAGCCATAACTCCACTTCTGGCTTTTTGGTGGTTAACTGGATAAGAGACTTTCCTGCCTGGACTGGGACACTTTGAAAGAGTTTGTACTTAAGGCCCTGACCTTGCTAGGCTAGTTCTATACCACTTGGGCCATGCCGCTAGCTCTGCATTCTGTTATTTTTGGAGGAGCAGTCTCTTGGACTTTTCTACTTGGATTGGCTTTGAGCTTTGATCCCATAGATCTCAGCTTCCTGATAGGATTACAGATGTGAGTTACCAGTACCCAGCCTAATTAATGTTTTGATTCTTTTATCTCTAATCTGAGATAGCTTGTGGCTATCCTCTTGTTACCATTTATACCTTCCACTCAACCGAAGTCCTTATTAGACCAATGACCTCACATGTTGTTTCATCATGCTAGTCATTTTGATTTGTAAAATTATAGCTACTTTTTGGCCAAAGTTTGTCTTGTCAGTTCTTACAACTCATCTTCTCTAAACATCTTTTGTTTTAACTGCCCATACAGGGACTTAAACTAAGGTCCCTCAAGCTCTTTCTCAGTTTGCTTATGGTGCTCTACCTCTTGAGCCCACTCTGCCAGCCTTGGCTTTTTGCTGGTTAATTGGAGGTGGAGTCTTGTGGGATTTTCTACTTGGACTGACTTCAAACCACAGTCCTTACCCTCCCACTAGGATTACTGGTATAAGCTACAGCCTAGTTAGTATCTTTTTGGGTGAGATCATTCTTTTTTTTTTTGGTCGGTCGTGGATCTTGAACTCTGGGCCTGGGCGCTGTCCCTCAGCAATTCAGCTCAAGGCTAGCGCTCTACCACTTGAGCCACAGTACCACTTCCAGCTTTTTCTGCTTATGTGGTGTTGAGGAATTAACCCAGGGCCTCACTCTACCACTGAGCCACCTTCCCATCCCATGAGTGAGATCATTCTTGCGAGGACTTTACCAATTGCTAAGATATTTCTGTATTTACTGGCATTTCTGAAATTTTACTCTAAACTTTTTTGTGTGTGTGCCAGTCCTAGAGATTGAACTGAGGGCCTGAGAGATGTCTCTGGGGCTTTTTACTCAAGGCTAGTGCTCTAGCCCTTGAGCCACAACTCTACTTCCTGCTTTGTGCTGTTAATTGGAGATAAGAATATCACAGACTTTCTTGTACAGGTTGGCTTTGAACAGCAGTCCTTAGATTTCAGCATCCTGAGTATCTAGGGTTATAGACATGATCCACACTAGTACCTTTTGGGGTCCTTGATCAAAGGAATGAGACTGATATAAAACAAAAGTCAAGCAAAGCTTTATTTCGAGCCAAGCATCAAGAATCATACTGACCATCTCTATGGAGAAAGCAACCCCACCTTGTCTTACAGGCTAACTTTTATAGGGCACAACTGCAAACCACAAGCTGACTGCAGCAAAGCTGACATTAGCTAATCTTTATCTCTATTGGTCAGAAACAGAGAAGTTACATAGAATTATATAGATAAGCCATGCAAGGCAGGTTTGGCACATTTTCATTGGTTATAGTTATAGGACCTTTAAATTCACTTGTTCTTTATGGTAAATAGCATACGTAATAATTTGCAATAGGCCTCCCATAGTGGGACCACTGAGTCTTTAATTGGTGGGCTTAAGGCCCTGTCACTGAGGCAAGCAAGCAAGGTTACAGAAGCAAAACATAGCATAAACATAGCCTTGAGTCACAGGAGCATAGGCAAAACATAATCTTGACTTGGTCAGCATGACTAATACTATCAATGCTATTGCCGCTACTACAGTTTGTAATGAAAACATTACAAACTCGTGATTAATACAGCAACTCATTGCAGCTGGTGATAAGCCTCAAGGTTGTCAGTAGCCTTCTGCAAAGCTGCTAGCTTGGTAAACTTGACTGAGGGAGAGATGTTCTTTTGCTTTTTAGCAAGGATGGAAAAGCAAAGGTTGAAGCAAAGGAGAAGCAAAGTCAGCCTTTATCTGGAGTTTTTCTTTACCAAGAGGTTTTTGCCCTTTACTAATAGCAACTCAGATATTACAGTGCCCAGCTCCATTTCTTTTTTAATGGTGCCAGTATGATGACTATTGAGGTCCTTCAGAGCTTATTCTTACAGTGTCTTTGTTAGAGTTGCTTGGCTGCCATTTGCTTAGCTCTAGCCACCCATTTAACCACCCACTTTCTTCTTTAGTCCTTATGACCATTATCAGCTTGGGCCACCTGGCCTGGCTGAGATAGGTCCTTACCACCTAGCAACTTGGCATCTACCCAAAGCACAAAAAGTTTCGTCCTCCCAAACATCCCTTTCAGTACTTTTCCACTGATCCACCATAAAAGCCTACAATCTATAACACTGATGGGGTTTAGCTTCTCCTGGAGACACCCCCACCCCCACCCCGCAGAATCTCTCTCCATGCCTTTTTCAGTCTGGTGTAGTCTGCTCAGATACAGGAAGGTAAACTGGTTGCCCATATTGGGCTTCGTGCCATCACCAGGAGGGTCAAGGTCCAGTAACAATGATTTCTCTCTGCTTAAGAGAGTTGACTGGTTCACATTTAGAACACTAGTGACTAGGTGATTAACACTCTTCTCTGTAGAAATTGACTGTAGATACAACTAGTAAGAAAACTAAAATGTTTATCAGCAGCCCCTTTTCCTTCTCTTTAAGGAGTATAATACAGTTCCATATCTAGAGCAAATGTTGGTTAGCTAACCACAACCCTCAGGCTGGCCAATTTTTGGTAAGCCTGTTTATATTTACATGTTGTCTCTAGTATCTGACTTCTTTACCCCACAACTGAGTGACAGAGACCAAATGGCCTACATGTCTTTTTTTTCCCTGCATGTCTTTAAAATATTTATTCTCTTACCCTTTAAGAAAATAGTTGCTGGGCTGGGAAGGTGGTTCAGTAGTAGAGTGCTTGCCTTGCATGTATGAGGCCCTGAGTTCGATTCCTCAGCACCACATAAGCACAAAAAGCTGGAAGTGGTTCTTTGTCTTAAGTGGTAGAGCTAGCCTTGAGCTGAAGAGCTGAGGGACAATGCCTAGGCCCAGAGTTCAGGCCCCACGACTGACCAAAAAAAAAAAAAATATATATATATATGTATATATTATATACATATATATATATATATATATTTGGATTTGGTTTTTGCTTGTCTTTTAACTATATATCACTGCTCTAATATATAAGGGAAAATAATTGAAAAATATTGATATTCCTAAATTATCTCCAAAGTTGAATCCTCTTGTAATGCCTTCCCTTTCTTTTCTTTCTTTCTTTCTTTTTTTTTCCTGCTGGTCCTGGAGCCTGAGTGCTCTCCCTGAGCTTTTGTGCTCAAGGCTTGAGCCACAGTTCCATTTCTGGCTCTTTTGTAGTTTATCAGAGATCAGAGCCTCCCCAACTTTCCCACCTGGGCTAAGATCCTCAGATCTCAGTGTCCAGAGTAGCTATGATTACAAGTGAGAACCACCCCACCATCACCCAGCTAGTAATGCCTTTTGAGTCATCAGTACCCTAATTTTCCCACACTACTTTTAAGAGCAACATGCCTATAATCCTGGTAGAGCCTTGAGCTGAAGATCTGAGGGACAGCGCCCAGACCCAGAGTTCAAGACCCACGACTGACCAAAAAGAAAAAAGAAAAAGAGCAAGCAAACCCTTGCTCATATTTGATGTTATCTGAGCACCAGGAGGGTCTAAAAAAAGGTTACTGATTAAGTGGGTCTGAGGATCAGTGTTCGTGTTTTAGCCTTCAAGTGATTTTCTTTTGAATTAAGATTTGGAACTTGTGGCTCAAGGTGGTAATCTCAGCTATTCTAGAGGCCGAAATCTGATTATCAAGTTTTGAAGCCATTCGGAGCAGGAAAAGTCCTTGAGACTATCTCCAACCATTGCTAGTACTGAGCATAGAAGAAGCCCAGGGACAAGGGCCAGGCCCAGAGTTCAAGCCCGGGGCTTGGCACACTTGGGCAAAGGGGGAAAACAACTTTACCAGGAGCAATTTGTAAAGCACAGCCAATGTAGAATGGTTAGTGCTAACTGTTGAGCTTTGCTGGTGCGATCTGCTAGGGGTCCTGCAGGACCTCCGCGGTGGCTCGGGGCGGTAACGATCCCCTCTTCCACTGAGCGCCCGGGAAGCCTTCGAGGTACGGGGCACCGGAAACTCGTTTCAAGGTCACACAGAGCCTCAGTCAAAGCCCAGCCCAGCGATCGGTTCCCCAGCCTGCCTCCTGATTCCCTCTACGGTGAGCGCGGGCAAAACCCGAGCTCACGACTTGTGTCGGGTCGTCTGGGCCGCCATCAGCCCGGACCAACATCAGCTTCCTTCCCCCTCGGCGCCGGCGCCCGCGGATCCGTGCGCAGGTCCGCCGCTCCCCGCTCCTAGCTGCGTGCGCGCGCACACCGGGCCGAGCGCACGCCGGCTCCGGCCCGCCCTCA